CACATGCACACACCGGACAGCGTGGCTCATGCTCATGGTCTGCAGAGACAGATCCTGTGTCAGAGGAACCTATAACTTAGTGGGTTTGTTAGTGACAGGCTTTGAACAGTGGCCAGGAAGGAAATATAGTGAAGGAGAATCTTGCAAAAACATTGGGGATTGTGTTCACCTAACCCATCCAGCTCCCTGTGGGCCCTCAGACCAGACCAAGTTGAGATCCTGGACAGCCCTTGTTATGGTAAAGGCTTTTATTAAATCAACCTCTATGACCAAAGCAATTATGAAATGTGGAAAGCATCAAGCAAAAACAATAATAACCTGTGTGTGGATGTGTGCTTTTGTGTGTGGGCTTGTCTGAGAAGAGAAGTTACTGAAATCGATTGTGAGCCACAAAGGATACCGATGGTAGAGAAAAGAGCTAGCAAAATTAGTATCCTTAAGGACTCAGTATTTGTCCACAAGTTAAAAACACAAGCAAACCTGTTGGGAAATGAGATGGAAACCAGATGGTATGTGAGATTTGACATGTACTTCAGTCATTTGACATGTACAGCTGCCATTACAAAGTACCATGGATTTGGTGGCATAAAAAACAATATTTATTTTTCTCATAGTTCTAAAGGCTAGAAGTTCAAGACCACAGTTCCATGTGGTTTATTCTATAGAAGGTCACTCTCTTGTTGCCTCTGTGTGTTGTCCTTTGCACACAAGGCCCTGGTATCTTTCTCTTCTCATAAGGACATTGGTCACATTGGATTAAACACATTCTGAGATATTGGGAGTCGGCATTTCTATACATGAATTTGGTGGTGGGGGTGGGACATGATTCACGGTATAGCACCACGCATCTCTATAAGGTTGAAGAAATTGTGTTGATTGTAGTAAGTAATGCCAGTTGTTATAATTAATGAATTCTGAAGTCTTAGGACTTGACACAATTAAAAATGTATTTCTCACATCCAATCAGCTAGAGGCTGTGGGATAACAGGATTCAGGGACCCAGCTGCCATCTTCAACACATGCAGTGTCCAAGGGTACTTTGGCATGAGGAGTCAGAGGAAAGTACGGAGATGGCACAGCATTGCTGGTGGCCTTGACCCAGAAGTCACACATCACTTCGATTTAGGTTACTTCAGCAAGAGCTAATCTTACATGCCTACCTAGAGGAAATGGCCTGAGGAAATCTAAGCCTAGGAAGGGGAAGTGGGTTGGGTACACATCTAGTTATTCTTTGCAGTAATGAATGAATGAATGAATGACTTTTGACTCATTTCTACACTAAAGATGAGGCAGTTTTTGGGGACATGAGGCACTTGCGTCAAGTAAATATGTTTAAGGATAAGAGCATTAAGAAATCCTTTGAGATTCTGAAAACCATGATAATTCTGTTGTTTTTTTTTTTTCCTTTGGATATTAGGGATTGAACCCAGGAGTGCTCTACCACTGAGCTACATCTCTAGGGCTTTTTACTTTTTATTTTAAGACAGGGTCTCCCTTAGTTGCTGAGGCTGGCCTTGAACTTGTGATCCTCCTGCCTCAGTCTCCTAAATTGCTGGGATTATAGGCATGCACCATCATGCCTGGCTTAAAACTGCTCTTCAGTGGTCCTCCCCAACTTTTTTCATGGCACACACAGGAAATGATAAATCCCATATTGCATGTTAGACGCTATGGATGAGATTATTCAAGATCAGAAATATGGATCAGGGGCCCTATTTACTCTAGGTGGCTACCTGATATCATGAAAGCTGAGGATCATATGCCAGCAACTTCTTTGCTATTGTACTGCAGCTCACAGGTGTGGAAGCTGGTGTTTTGAGAACAAAGGCCATGACATATGGCTAAGATGTGCAGTGCATTCTGTTAAGACCAGAGCTGATGCCACTCTCATAGGATAAAACAGAGAGGGAAATTAGGGGCAGCAAAAGCCAGAGAGAGTAGAACTGCCCTGGAGGATTTGACAAGATGACAAAGTGTTGGGACCACAGATTTTCCCTTTGTCTGGAGTCCACATTAAGTATGGGAAGGCCTCTCTAGTGAGCTGGACTCGAGAGCTGAGCTATCATTTTGCTATATTTGGAACAACTCTTCCTTCTTTCTCCTGCATAATTAATTGGAAGGGAATTACAAGGGGAAACCAGACACGGAAATTAATATCCTTCAGAAGACCCAGTGAAGGAGAAGAAAATAGAATGTAGATCCTCTAACACTTTAGCTTAGGTTCCAGATTTAAAAAAAAAAATTATACATACATCTTTGGTTTGCTCTAAATGTTATCTACTGTGAATGAACAAACATTTAGACTCATCTATAAATGACTCTGCTAACGCTTAGACCTTGTAGGAAAATGTGGTGAGAACATAGTGTGGCAGGAGGCAGAAAACCAATTCAAAGCTCATATGCTTTTAACAAACACTGCACTAAAAGACGTCACCTTGCATCCCTCTGATTATTGTTCCTTCAGAGAGTCTTTGCAGTGTTATTAACCTTGGCCATCTTCAATTACACATGTCAGATAGTACTTAAAACTGATGTAGGGTGTACTTTGAGATTAAATGGCATTTTTGCCTAAAAACCAACTCTTTCACAGAAATTGTTCTTGTTTTCCACAGAAATTATAAAAAATAATTTGGAGAAATTGTCTATTAATATTTTAAAAGCAAGAAAATAACTTCCAGGATAATAGCCAAACCCTCTCTCATTTCCTTTCTCCATTTTCATCAAATATGGGAACGCTTAACCACACAGGAAGAAGTTGGTGGATTTGGAAAGTTGCTGAGTTCTCTTATTTGAATCAATCCACATTAAACACAGGCTGTTGTTTTATTAGCAAGTGAGGAATAGACATAACTCAAGCTGAGGGCACATGGAAGAGAATTTGGTTCCGTAAGGTCCAGCAATTCTTGAGCAAATGAATGATTCTAACAGAAACCCAAGGAGAGAAGGATTCCCTAAGATTGGGTAGGGCCAACCTGCTGATCCATTAGCTTCCTACAAGATCTAGCCTTAGCGGATCATTGGTTCCTTACATCACTAGGAGTGCAGAGATGATATTAGATGGTTCAAAGATAAACCTAATTTTAGTAGCAATGTATGTTAATAAAAATAGATCCAGCATTGTGGCAAGGCCCTCAGCTTGATCCCTAGTCTCTCTCTCTCTCTCTCTCTCTCTCTCTCTCTCTCTCTCTCTCTCTCTCACACACACACACACACACACACACACACACACGATTGTTATTATTCAGGAATTCTGCATTTGTGAATTCACCTGCTCATGGAAATGGATTTGTAATTTCAAAGCTGATACTAGCATCACTTTTGTCTCCACCTATAGACATACACAGAGCAACAGAAACTTAATGATCCATCGTGCATCTTCCCAGTTGAGGTCCAAGGAGAGAATGCTGTCCGAGTTTTTAGCTCTTATACTGCAAATAAGTGTCTCAATAAGTGGTAGGTGTATTTTGCTGTTGTTTGTTTCTGGTTTTTTTTTTTTTTTTGCATTTTTGTGCTTTTGGTTGGTGATCTGCTATTTGAAGTGCCCCCCAAGTACAGAGCTGAAGTGTTGAGGTGCTGACCAGTGTTCCCAAGCACTAGACGGCTGTAATTTTCCTTGGGGAAAAGATATGTAAGATATGTGCTTCACTCAGACATGAGTTACAGTGCTGTCAGCCCTGAATTCAGTGTAAACAATTTGTATTCTGTAAAGTATCTTTAAAGGAAACACATAAAACAAGGTTATGTATGGATTGATTGGTGAAAATGTTGAGACCAGAGGCTTTAATTCTCCTGGGAGCAATGGCTTAGTATTTGCTAATGCAGTGTCTGCAGAGATTTTATTGAATACAACTAGCACGAATGAGAATTGACCATGAAAAGCAGTGGAGGTCTCTGTGGTAGACACAAGAGGCTCCTCCCAGAGCTGTCAAGAAGGCCTTGAGCCCGGCCATGGGGAATGGGTCAGCAGTCAGCTCCCAGCTAGGAGGGTCCCTCTCAGCTGCAGAAAGCCACCGTGCCCTAGGTCATCCTCTTCTTGGGTCTCGGCTGCCCGACTGGGTGCAGACCCTCCTTGCTCCAGACCTTCCCCCCTCCTGTCTGCATTGGCTTCAGCTTCACGGGGCTGCACTGAGTTCTGGCTTTCCCTCTGCTCATTTCTGCCTCCTCCCCATTCCTTCCACGGTGCTGATCTGTAACCACCATCTCACATCTGACCTTCATGTCACCTTCAGCCTCTGCGGAAGCCAATCGCGGTGGTGGTTCATTGGCTGGGACACAACACAGAGAATCACCGCAGAGACCCTTCCTCTCCTGCCCTCCGCAGATCATCCATTTATTTGCTCTCATCTTCCGGGTTCCAGGCTCTTGGTCTCTAACCAGATGCCGACACCTGCCCCAGTCCAAGGCCACTGCTAAGGCTGGGTAGAGGCTGGGTGCTGCTCCAGGATCCACTGGAGGACATGAACCAAATCCAGCTGAGGTTCCCATCACACCCACAGGTCCTAGAGAGGAGACGTGCTGTTTGGGAGAAAGGGTCCTAATCCTAATTGGCTCCTGGAAGCGGTGTGGCTAGACACTATGGTAGCCATCCCCGCTCCCCATCCCCACGTGGTCTGGATCTTCCCTCCCTGCTCCTGCTCTCTGGACCACGGCTGTCTTGAGCAGTGGTGGCTTTTGTACCCGCCCCCAGCCTCAGCATCCTCTATCATCTGGTCTCCTCACTTGGGCTGTCTCATCCCTGCCTCAGACACTGAAAGGTTCAGAACTCATGAGCTGAGGACAAAATCACTCCCTTTCAGATACAGTGCCCTGTTAGAGACAGTGCCCACCCTGCCCCTCCCGGGCCCTCTAACTCATGCGTGTGTCCTGTGTGCTAAAATAAAGCCCATGGGGCAGCTCCCTGGGAGGCCCTTCCAAATAGCTGAGAGAAATTTATAAAAATAATAGCTCGTGTTTACTGGGCCTTACTCCCTGTCAAACACTCTGCTAAGAGCTTTCTATATTTTATTTCATGGAATCCTCATAACACCCTGAAGAGGTTGGTATTCATAGTCCCATTTAGCAAGTGAGGAAACACAGGCTTGGGGAGGTTAAGTAATTTGCTTCACCTCAGGAATCTGCAGAGGGGGCTGCAGATGGGCTTTTATCTGACTCTAGAGCTGCAGTGAGCACTCTGCAGTCAGAGGAGACTTGGGCTCAGCCTGAAGGGACAGGTTCTGGCTGCCAGAGAGCATGAGAGATAGCAAGCACAGGCAGAGGGACAGTCCTCCCGTGGCAGGACGGAAATGATGCTCTCTTTTCCTCTTTAAAGAACTCAGCTGAAGCCCCAGATTGAGCTGGGATCAAGATCTGAACATTCGAGGTTGGCTGGCTTCATTTTAACCATGTACCTAGTAATTTGTCATCATTTAAAGACCATTTCCTCTGCACCTGCATTCAAAAGGCATCCAGGGCCCAATGTTGTAAGGAGGAATTCCGCAGACCCCCTGATTTTCTCCTTCTCGACCCATGCATCCTGCTTCCAACAATGCGGTTTGTGGAGACCCTGGCCTCTGAGGCTGGAGGGTGGGAAGGAGAAGTGAGGCCCACCACTCCCTGACCAGTTGGCCTTTTGACATTTCAGAGTTGGAGGTGAAACAAATGATTGAAATGACATTAAAGACTGAACTGTGCTGTAATTTATGTCCAAACGTCCAGGAGAAACACGAAGATCCACAGTTTTCAATGGATCTCTGCTTGTATGTTTTGTCCCTCTTTGAAAAGACAAGGAAGACATTGAAATCCTGTGCCCAGAGTCTTAGGGCTGAAACTTGCTATGGTCAGCATAGTGACAGAAAAGATCATTCTGGGCAAGATTCTTTTTCTTTTCTTATTTCTCCAATATTGGTCAAGATGGACAATTGTTGTGGATAAACTTATTCTTATGTGAATAACCTGATTTATTAGCATGTCCGCTAGAGACCCACATAGGGATGTCGATGACATTCCAAGTTTGACCCAGACACCCCAGCTTTCAGTCTGTCCATCTGGCATGCTGGGTGCAGGAGCTCTGGATCTCTCCCCTCGGCGGAGATCCTGGGATTTCTGAGGCCTTAAATTTCTAGCTCTCGCTTCCTGGTGCTCAGCGTGCTGAGCCTGCTGGTCGCTTTTCACTGGTGAGGCATCCCACACAGGTCCTGCTAGCTCTTAGGACTCGCCTTCCCTCTCGAGCATCTTTGGAATATATTTTTTCCTGTTTAAAAGAAGAGGTTGGAAAGGCAGCGAAACAGAGCTCATCTCTAAGACTTTCAACAGTGGAGCCTGGAGGTTAAGATGAGAGAAAGGAACAAATCTGGATCAAATCCTGACCTTGGACAAATTCCTTGATGATTTCCTCCTCCTCCTCCTCCTCCTCCTCCTCCTCCCCTCCTCCTCCCCTCCTCCTCCTCCTCCCCTCCTCCTCCTCCTCCTCCTCCCCTTCCTCCTCCTCCCCTTCCTCCTCCTCCTCCTCCTCCCCCCCCTCCTCCTCCTCCTCCTCCTTCTTCTTTTCTTTTGGTACCCGGGATTGAACTCAGGGGCGCTGAACCACTGAACCACATCCCCAGCCCTTTTTACTTTGAGACAAAAAAATTGCTTAGGGCCTCACTAAATTGCTGAGGTTGGCTTTAAATTTGTCATTCTCTCACCTCAGCCTCTTGAGTTGCTGGGATCACAGGCCTGCACCACCGTGCCTGCTTCTTGACTTCTTTGTGAGCTTCAGTTCCCCATCTGTAAAATGGGTATAATCATATATGCCTCATTCCATGGTTGTGTGGAGCCCTTCGGCACAGAGAGGCACTCCATAGGTGACAACTGTAGGTGCTAGTAAAATAGAAATTCATTGTCATCACAAACTCTCATCTAGAAGTCACATGCAAAAGGCCACCTGTTATATAATTCTACTTATATAAAATGTCGAGAATAGGCAAACTATAGGGACCGAAAGTAGATCAGCAATTGTCTAGGGCTGGCAGTTGCAGGAATGGGGTTTGGCTGTAGTAAGCATGGCTTTTATTTCAGGGTGATTAAAATGTTCTGGAAATAGGTAGTCGTGATGGTTGTACAAATTTATGAATACATTAAAAACCACTGAATTGTAGACTTTAAAAGGATGAGTTTTATGTATGTGAATTATATCTTTTGAAAGTTACATTTTAAAAGAAAAATCTCTTAGGCTATTAAATCATGAACTTTGAAGCTACTTTGTTTCACAGACTCTCTACTTCTGCAGTCCTGGAAGAAGAATTAAATGTCATCTCATTGGAAGTCTAACTCTCTATAGATAAATCATTTGTTATATGAAGATTACACAATAAATGTCAGCCTACCGCCATTTTGGCATTGGTGGAGATTGTAACAGAGTTCTCTTGGCATTCTCTGTGAGACTGCTGAACAACCTAGATTTATGGGCATAAAGAGCCAACCTACCATTCCTAAATCAAGAGCATCTTAACTCATCTGGGAAATATTCCAGGTGGTAAAGGAGAAATTTTCTCTCCAGGATGGAAAAACAAAGGCAGGGAAAAGAAATTAATCTTTTGGACTAATGGTGACTATTTGATGTATCATAGGCATTGATTCTAACTGAAGGTGTGTGTGTGTGTTATGGGGAGATAAGTAAGGGAACCTTGCTAAGAGGAAAGGGGAGCGTTTGGAATGAGTTGGTATGTATTCCAAAATGGCTTAATTCTGGAATTTCATTGAGCCCATTCAAGGCTTCCAAAGAATGATTGAAAAAAAAATGCAGAGTGTTTTTGGATTCACGTCTCAGACAGGGTTGTCAGCACTGTTTAGGGATGATTTCTTTTGGCGTGAATAAGGTTTCAAGATTTTGATAAAAAGTTATTTCTTTGTCGTTTGTAGTGTCCATATAAATTTGTGGTCTTTCTTTTTTCTTAAAAACATGATTAAATATGCTTTAAAGAATCAAAGACTTCTGTCTGGGTTTTGAATTTCTTCCAGATTTACTGCTGATTAATATTATATATGTCAGGTTGGGTGTTTTTTTGTTTGTTGTTTGTTTGTTTGTTCAATAGTGCCAATTGAGATTCTTTCAAAAAAAATAAAAAAGGTTTATTAAAAAGATAATCATTTGTGCATTGCATTATAACATCAAGATACTTATCAAAATCTTTATCAGGAACACTTTATTTTTAAAAAGTCTTTCTTTGCTGGAACTGCTAGGTGGAGAGGCGAGAGGAGAAGCTGAGAGAAAACATAGAGCAGGAAGAGAATCAAAGAGAAGGTTCATATTAATAGCTTTGCACGGACTAGCTTGGACATGCTGGGCTCTTTTTTGATCTTTGTTTTTAATGAGAATGTGATGTCAGGTGAGAATTCACTGAGACTAAATGCAGTACATACCATGTTATGTGCCAAGAACCTTTAAGAGACAATGAAAGATGACCTGAAGAGCAGGAAGATGACCTGAAAATACAGGTCAGGTCAGCTACCAAGTATTGACTGTTTAATTCCAGGGCCAGGTGCTTGACTGGGAATTTCATTATCCATCACAAAACCCAGTGAGGTCTTTGTGATTGAGCCCATTTTATAGATGAAGAAACTAACACTCTGCAAGATTAAATAACTGAGCCCAAGGTCAAGTGACTTAGGTTTGTCTAAAATGCGAACCAAGTCCATTTGGTTCATGCTTTTGACTATGCCGAAAAGTCTAACAGATAGATCTGCCATCTTGAAACTGGGATAAATCCCTCTTTCCATAGTTACCTGCTGCTTAATTTCTCTTTTCTTAGAGGCGGGCTCTTTTCTGAAGCTTAGTAAACCATTCCTCCTAGTGCCTTCCACCCACAAGTGAGGCTGTCGCCCAGATCAGAACCTGAAAGGTATTCCAGGTGATCCCTTTTCCTCATTCAGCACATGGAGAAAGTGAGTGGCAGAGATTCTGCCCCTTCTCTTTCCCGAAACCTGTCTTCTCCAAATCTACACCTGCCACGATAGCTCAGAGGCTCACCGTTTTGCTGTGCTACTTCTACCAGCCTCCTAACTGGCCTCCCTGCCTCCAGTCTTGCCCCCTCCACACCATTCTTCCCAAGGTGCTTTCATTCTTAGAGTGATTTTAAAAATAGAAAAAGAAAAAAAAAGTGAAACCAACTCTGTTGGTTCCTTACTAAAAGAAATGTTCACCCCCTTTACATTGTTTTAAGAGGAAATTCAAATTTCGTAATATTTCTTAGATGATTTTACCGATCTGGCTTTATCTTTCTAGGCTCATTTACTAAGTGAGGGAAGAAATCCCTCTGGATCAAGATTAGATTTTGTTGTAAGTGACAGAAAAATAAAAATAACAAGGGCATAAACTTTCTAAAGCTGATTCCTTTTCTGCTCATCTGGAAAATATCATCCATCATCCAAGTTTTTCCTATATTATTTTTCCACTGTCTTTACCATGTAGCTCCCACCTTATCAGCCACCATGGCTGCCTGAGATCAGCTCCCAGGTCCACATTTTAACCCACAGGAAAAAAGAAGGATCAAAGAAAGTCCTGCCCTTCTCTTTATGGCCCCTTCCAAGAAGTTCCACTTAGAAACTTCTGTAGAGTCTCTCTGTAACATTGTCACATGGACACATCTGCTGCAGAAGAGGTTGGGAAAAGTAGTTATTGTCTTGGACAAACACGGTGTCCATCAAAAAAATGGGGATCCTGTTACCAAGGAAACAAGGGATAAAGAAAACTGGGGGCAACTGGGAGCCTCTGACCCTTTCCGCTCAACTGTTGGCAGTGGCCTCTGCAAAAGCAGATCTGTGCGCCCTTGGTGTGCACGACACCCTGTCTGTACCTCCCTAAGAGCACAGATAATATACAACACATGTGGATCCTGTGCGCCTCCCCATTAGTCAGAGCATTTCTCGAGGGCACAGATGACTATCTGGTACTGACGTTCCAGGTTTTTGTTTTTATGTCTTTAAATAGACTGATCGGTTAGCTTAAATGTAGAAACATAACCAGAGATGTCTGAGAATGTGGACACAGGTTAGAATTCTTTATAAGAAACATGCACTGCTGGTGAGGGGAAGAAACAAAGGAGAATTTTTTTGCACCAAGGGGGGAAAAAACCAGAAAAAGCAACGTGCATTATAAGAGTACCCTACTACTCGCCCAGAGACTCAGGCGGGGACACTGGATCTGAAACCAGAGTTAGAAGGAGCAAAGCATGCGTGTGACAAGCTGGGGGAAGAGCCTTGCAGGGGTCAGCGACAGCAAGAGCCTTGAGGCAGGAAGGGACATGACATTTTCAAGGTCAAAAAGAAGCATTATGGCTGAAGAGTGGTAAGCCGAGGGGTGGTGGTGAGGTTGCTTGGGACTGCATCATGTGAAGGCGGAGGTCTCAAGTGTGGCTCTGGAGCAGACACCCTGAGTGACCAGGGCTCTACCACTTACTAGCTGAGACGTGGCTAAGTTACTTATTCTCTCTGTGCTTTGGTTTTCCCACCTGGTTAAAGAACGGTCTCTTTATAGTGCGGTTGTTAGATTTCAATGAGTCAGCACATGTGAAGCACTTGGACCAGTGCCTGAAACAGGCAGACAATCAACAGGTCCTTGACACCTGTCCTGACAGGTGCTGGTTTCTTGCTGTGCCTATTTTTTTAGTATTTTCCTTTTCCTTTCTTTTCTTCTTCTTCTTTTTTTTTTTTAATTTTTCTTCTCTTCCTCTTCTCTGCTGGGGATTAAACTCAAGGCCTTGCACATGCAAGGCAGGTGCTCTACCACTGAGCCACACCCCAGCCCTGAATCTTCCCAATATCTTATACCCAAGCCCATTATGCTCCCATTCTGCCCAGCTCCACAGACTATTAGTTGGTTTCCCAGGATTCAGTTTGACTACATAGAACAACAACAAAACCCTCAAAATATAGCACTTAGAAAACTTTTCCTTGAGTAGAAACCCTAAGGTAGGCAAGCCAGGGCTGAAATGATGGCACAGGGGACATTAAAGATGCTGATCCTTCCATCTTCCTTCTCTCTTATCTTTGTCTCTGGCTAAAGACGGTTGCTGGAGTAAACCATGTGTCCACATCCAACAAAGATGGAAGGTAAAAGGGGATAGGACAAAAGGGCGTACCTCTTTTAAACATGTTTCATGAAGCCTCATGCAACAAGATGCTGCCATCACATAGGCCAAAATTATCTGGCCACACCTAACTAGTTCAGTGGCTATCAAATGTAATTTTTTCCAGCCTAGCAGATTGCATGGGATTCAGTTGATAAGAAAGAAGAGAAAAACATTTATTGGGATGAACCCAGTTTCTTTCCCCTCCTCCAGATTCTAATCTAGCCTCTCCTGCTTTGTCTCCTAGGCTACTTCTCATGGGCTCTCTGCCTACAGGGTTCCGTTCTTCAACCCATTTTACAGAGGAGCAGGGATGTGGTCTGAGTGTTAGGGACCCTCCAAAATTTGTATATGGAGACTTAATCCCCAAGGTGACTGTATTCAGAGGAGCGGCCTTTTCAGGAAGTAGTTACTTAAACCTGGAGGGCAAAGTCCTCCTGAAAAGATTTAGGAGCCTTATCAAAGAGGCCTGAGGGAGCTTGTTTGCTCCTTAATCTTCTGCTCAAGTCCCTTCCTTGACCTGACACGTCCTTCCTCCTCCAGCAAAACTTCCCTTCCTGAGCTCTGTGCACCAGCCCAGTCCCACCCTGTACCTCTCCACTGTAAACTCCATAGTTGTTCATCCGTCTCTTCCTAGCACCTATAAGGATGCCTAGCTCCTAGTCAATGCTCAGTGACTCACCGTTGAATGGATCAGTGGATCTATATAGATACAGATATATATTTGCCATCTCTATGTCTTTGCTCATGTTT